TCATTTATAAAGTACTAGCTACATCGTCTCAAACCGTGGCCGTACGGTTACCGTACTGGACCGCCACGTAGAGTTCGATTCCTGGGCGGGTAGAAATATTTGTATGGCCTACATTTATTTCTCTCGTCAGTTTGGGTGTAATTTATGGTTGTCTATGTGTATATCCATGGCACCCGCGACAGAAGGTTTCCCTAGTGCGGGGCTATGTTGAGTGTGTGCGTTATTATTATTGTTATTGTAGTGTTTTTTTTATGATATAAAAGATGTGACAAATAAGTCGTGTGTGTAGTTGCAGTGCTGCTTGTAACTTTAAATCGCAAAAATCTAAGGAGTATTTTGTGGTTGTCTATGCGTGTGTCCGTGGCACACGCGATACAGGGTTTCGCTGTTACAGTTGTTGTTACAGCGTGTGCGTAATTATAATATAAATCGAAATTAAATTAAATTAAACATATTGTTAATTAATAAATGAGATCCGAAAAAATAGTATGACTCCGATAATTCCTTATGTGTAACAATCGCGAAAACCTGATAATTCGAATCAATAATTTATGTATTTTCGTCCAGAGTGTCACGTTGCGATGCAAGTGATGACCTTTATATGAGGAGACCCGTGACCGGCAGTGCGACGTATAACAGGTTGATAATGATCATAAGGGAATCTCCCTTGAAATTCGAAATCGTAATATTGTGAAACGGATATTATGGAATAAAAGGGTTCGTTCCTCAAATACCTTCAATTATGTATTATGTCAGAGTTATGGCCGTAAAGGGAGACGTTGAAGGAAACATCCTCTGCGCTGATTTAGTCAGAAATTACTTGATTGGCTCATTCACTGTTCGTTATCAGTTCGTTCAGCCGGCGGTGAAATAATAACCTCGGTTGAATGCATCGAGCATATAAACAGAAATAGAGACGAAATAATGGGCATCCATCACTGGCAACTCATCGTCAAATTGATCTTATATCACTTTTAAATATCAACTCTCGTTTACATTGAAATCACAAATTAGAAAGCTGAAATAGTACAGCGGCAACAACTGACCTGTGTGTACATCTGCCTATATTCCAAAAATATTCTGTATTTATTGTAATAAAGATAATATCTCTAACTATGGGGGGTTGTTCCATTCGGTGGTGGAGAAAAAACAGCAAAACATCTAATTACAAAACAAACGAAATCATATTTCAACTGTAATTAAATACGCAATTTTTTAATTTTCGTCCATTATAGCAAGGCTCAAGTTAAACTGGTCGTTTTGAAGTGAAACAATTGTTTCGAACTCGGGCTGGCCAATCGGAGCGCAGTTGTCATGGTAATGATATGGCAGAATAGTTTTCAAACAAATTAAATGATATTTCGGAGTGGCCACCTCGAATTCGAAACAATTGACGGGTATCGTCAATTGTTTTACTTCAAATCGACCAGTTTAACTTGAGCTTTGATTTAAAAATTGAAAAATTACATATTAAATATTTAATTATAGATGAAATGTGATTCCGTTTGTTTTGTAATTAGATGTTTTGCTGTTTTTCCCCAACACACAGCCCCCCATTGTTAGAGATATTATCTTTATTACAATAAGTACAGAATACTTTTGTAATATAAGAAGATGTACACACAGGCCCGTTGTTGGAGCTATACTAATTTCCGCTCTCTAATTTTTTATTTCAGTGCAAACGAGAGTTGATGTTTAAAAGTGATATAAGGCCCATTTACCTGATGACTTGCCAGTGATGGATGACCCTTATTTCGTCTCTATTTATGGTTATATACTCGATGCTGTAATGCTGGTATGGATCCACTTTGATACATTTGTAAACAAAGAATGTTAATATGATTCGTAGGTAGCCTTGTAAATCGATTATCTAATAATTAGAAAACAACACGTAATAATATTAGCTAAGTTTTGTCCTGTCATAATTCGCAATACGTAAACAATACCCCAAATTCTATTACATTATGTTTAATGTGATAACTGGTTCCGACATATACACTTCCGGACACATAACTCGACCCTCAACGCATTTTAAGTATTAAACGCCCTAAGCTTAAACAATGTTTGATTGATAAAAAGCTACACTAGTATACTAAACGTCGTTTCCATAAGTCCTTGTTGGGAATTTGGATTTGCAAAACCGGGGGAAGACTTCTTCGATGATAACACTGTTTTTGTATTCTAGCCATTTAAGACAAAAATGCGAGGTGGTGGAGTATATATAGATATATAATATTTTTGAAACGATAGTGTCAGTAGTGATGAGCGCGGCAAAGTCAGAGAAAAGGCTTAATTTTCCTGAACTTAATTTCAAATTAAATGTTAAATTTCATGGTCTTCCTTTTATTTAAGATGCCATGTTAATTAGAAGAAACTAATCCTTATGACTGAGGCTTTCGATCAGTACAGTAAAATTGCAAGTGCTTTTTTTCACATTTGGCTTCGATTCCCGGTCCAGATAGACGATTATTTAAAAATTTATGAATGCAGTTCGAATTGTTTATAAAATCAAATTTAAGTTGTCTTTCAATAAAATTATCTATCTACGTTATTTAAGGTACTTTCCGTCGGTGTGGCATAGTCGTGTGACGCTGTATATACATGTATAGACGTAAATATGTATATAATGTCCTATGTCCTCAATGATCTTGAATACAATTGTCTACATGAAACAAATAATTCACTCGTAACTAGTGTTGCAAGGTCTGATGTCAAAATACGGGACAAAGGGTCGAAAAAGCGACACGTGTTTCTCAGTCGGGACTTTCCTCTTTCATGGATAGTACTTAAATAGTACCTGCTACACAAAAATGTCACTACTTTTATTTAATAATTCAATATATTGATAATATGGATTGAATATAAAATATTCAATGTAGGTAAATAATTTTATTGAATTTTGTTTGTACGTTGTTGATACTTGTCTATGGGGAAGCAGTCGGCGGTAACTCCACAGAAAACAATTGGAAATCGTACACTATAAGGCTCAGAGTTGGTTTTTGGAGATCCACGTAGCGAAACGGTACGCGTACTATCATATCCAGATATTTAATATTACGGTAAATACCGTTGATGTCTATGAACGGATTACCCATATTAATCGTATGTAATCTACTTATAATATTATAAAGAGTATTTGTTTTGACAGTGAAAAATCACTTATTTGAAACAATTAAACAAAATCGAGACATTCGGCGTCCTAGTTGTTGTGCAGATGGCTCTTAGAACCCCTGAAAACTGGGACATCATTTACACACCAAGACGTTTGACAACACTATTCACAACTAAGTAACGTAATTCTACATCGAATAATACTCTATTCCGTCACTGTTAATAATACCTGTTAATAATTGATGACAGGTCTATGTAACGCGAACTGTTACTACTCGTATTCCTAACTAATATATTATATGACACAAAGGCATTACTAATAAAGTACGTACAGTTGTCAGCACTGAAATTAATACACTTGGTGTTATTAATTTCGAATTTTATTGAATACATTCACTGACATTACAAAGCTTTGACCACGAAAACGGATTTTAATAGTGTCGAGTGTAGTTCATTGTAATATCGATAGGTTTAACCGCTCACACGATACATGCAGCCGTAGACGCATACCACACCTAGAGGTGCCGGTGATGATTTTCTACCGATTTATCGGATATCGAAGTTATAACAGGTAAAAGAATTAATATTAATTGCTATTTCGGTAACTACTCTAGCAAACCATAAAGTTTTTAAAAAAAAATAAACAACTTCAAAAATACTTCACGACAATCGTGTGTGTTATTGTTTGAGCCGGTGATTTCGGTGTTCATTTATTGAAAACATACCGTAAGTAGCGTTTTTTAAGTTTACCCTGAATATAAATGTTTATAAACTATACTTTAAGGAGTAATTTCATCGTTAACTTTAGAACCACTCAAACGGAATATTATCATATTTATCCAAGTACACCAAAAATTTCATTAGTGCTTTTTAAGTGCAGGATTTGCGGTGTATTACTGCATTTTATTTGAGATGTTTTTGTTGGTAGTACGGAGGGTATTTATTTAGCAATGCAGAATAATAAGTTTTATTTATAAAAATTGTATTTAAACTGAATGCTTTTCTAATTTGCGAAACCAAATAGCCGCCATTTTATGGTAGGAGGAGCGCATCGCGTGAGCGGTTATGATAAAGGCAATATAACATAATATATACTATTTAACAGCTTGAGCCGAACATAAAAGTTTTTACGTCAAGAAGAATGTTGTGCGTTTTTCTTATATCGAGTCGCGTCGTCTGTTGTCGATGTTTTAATCTAAACCGCCACCAAGCACAAAAGCACCATAAAATTGCTAGTGTCATTGATGTTATAGCCTAAGACATTGAAAGTCGAAACCTTTTTTTTTTCATCAAAAATAAGTGCGAATTTGACCTCCATCTCACCCGATGGAAAGTGATGATGCGGTCGATGATGTAGCATGCACACCTAAATATTGCCTATTCACTCTCGTCTTGAAAAGGTCCAAGTTATAGCGTTCGGGAAATACGTCCGCAGACAGGGAATTCTACTTTCTAGCCGCTCGTGGGAATATCCACAACATAGGGTTGGTATCCCAGCGCACGTCCAGTCCCTCGGTGATGGAAAGGGGAAGGCGGAATCAAATTATGCAATTCCATCGTACACTCTCCGTGATATATCCTGTAGAATACCGATAAGCAGGCAACTTTACGGCGGTGTTCAAATCTCTGAAGCTTCGCCTCAACTAATTCCGAGGCACCTATAAGCCTTTTGGCACGCTTGTCGATTGAATCCAAGGTGACCAGTTGGTGTTTAGCAGAGCCATCCCATAAGTGACAGCAGCCATACATCACCGGACTTGTGCTTGGTACAGCTGAAGTAACTGTCCTGTTCCTCACCTTGGAAAGGATGCGAAGCTTCATGGCTTCATGGCCATGGATTCAATGTATCTGTCGTATAAATGTGTTGAAAATGAAGTACAAAAACTAACCTCAACAAAAGAGTCCGACACAAATCTTTGCACCAAAGACGTCTTGCCGCATTGCGCGTCTCCTACTAGCACCACTTTAATTTCCTCTTCTGCCGTTGGCGTACCCGCCACGCTACCTTCAGAGTTCTTTTTCGGCCACATAGTTGCTTCTGTTTTATACTTGCACTACACTGAAACAAAAATTATTCATGGTTAATTCTTTGAATTTCGGAATAATAATAACTGTGTTAACAAAAAAGTATAAAGAGAAATTGACAGAAAACATTTGAATAAATTTTTGAGGTTTTGACGTAGTCGAAATGCGGCTCTTGCCAACGTCGGGGTCTCGTTTATAGCCACTGTGAATTCACCTATTGTTTGGTAGGATGTGTCAGCTTTATAAATAGATATCTATGAAAAACTCCGGTTCGGATGTGTATGATGTTTCGTTTCCTTTTCTTGTGATTTGGCTGATTCTGGAACTATACAGGAGATATCCCCGCGTGACTGCTGACTAGTGCTTGCCAAAGGATACTGATTATCTGCTATTTACGACTACATTTTGCTGTGGAACCCAAAACTTCGAACTGAAATATCCTATAATATCCTATATTCTCTATTTCCAGGATTATAGCTCATAGTCCCCTGATGTATTTATAACGGAACACGGAACTCGGAACACAAAATATTTCATTAATATGTTCCTAGCAACAATCGAACGGATTCTTTTTTTCCGTAGATAAATGTAATTAAAAATGAAAATTTTGTTAACTGTCTATGTGCGCGTGTGGATCCAAAAGCTATGTCACGTTTCCTAAAACTCAATACTGGATATGCAAAGCGCGTCCACGAGGCATATCTTGTCCCCCCCACAAATAGAGATTAAAAAACTATCCGCGTAGCAATTGATACGAACAAGAACAATATTTCGAAGTCGAGAAATGTCGATGCACACGAGAATTGGATGCCAAAGTTTAATCATTTTTGTTGATTATGGCAAAACCGTGATACTAGATTTTCTCTATACTGATTGCTAAGCACGTGACTGCTTTGAGGAGATTGTATTGGAATAAGCCATGTTTTAGTAGCAGTAGAATTCCTTATGAAAGAGTTCGTAGTGAAGGGAAGTACCACCTTATCTATTTGTGCCAAGCAGTAATATCAACATTACTGTGTTCCGGTTTTGAAGGGTTAAGGGTGCTGGTGAAATTACAGGCACATGGGACTTGTCAACTTATGTCGGGCGCACATACGGTTTGCGATTTAAAACTCTGAGTGGCACGGCAACTTGGACAGGCGTGTAGCTTAAATTAGGCGCAGGACTTGTTCGTCCCGTCACTTGATATTATAAAAAAAGCCATACTATCAAAGAGCGGTGATAGCTCCGTAGAAGAACGACTGCTTCATAAGAGAGAGATCAACGGTTTGAATCTGCGGCTGCGTGGCAAATTGTACTTATGATCCTAATTTATAAATTACGGACAGTAGCAATACCATGTGGTTTTTGAGCGATACCTTTTGCCTCAGGGTGACAACACTGGCGCTTGTCGACGTCGGATTTGTGTCAAATTCTTTACGCCTATTCTTATTTTGTTCATATCAATTTATAGCGCGCGGATTGTGGGACGCGAGGGGCGACCCTCCACACCTCACCTCCTAAAACCATTTCAAACATGAACATTTCAAAGGGCAAAAGAGACAGGACAACCTTTTGTGTCCCACTTGTAACTGAACGAGATGAAATATAATACAGCGGACTGAAAAGATTACTATCATTATTTTGTTTTTGTCACGATAGTGCATTCCAAATAAAGTAATTTTCACTCAATGCTAATTGAATTGATTACTGTTTAAAACACTGCAAGTTGTAATTGTCGCTATATGCAACAGGAAAACCTGTTCCACAAATTATGGGAAAAAGCGAGAAATGCTAACCCCTTCATTCCATTTCAAGTGAACCGTATTTTGCTTCCAGGAAGTCTCATTACGTTGTTATCCACTAGATGTGAAGCTTGGGAAAGGCAAAGCGATGGTCACATTTTTAACTGTGCGATAATTAATCCTGGAAAAGAACTATTTTGAATTTTATACCCTAATGATGAGTAGACTGGGTTTTTTTATTTATGCGTGAGAAGACGGAAATCCTCGTGGGTGCCAATAAATTCGGACTACAGACGTGTGCGACTTTCAATTTATGAAAAAAAAAAAATGAGTTATCCATTTTTTGTTAATTATTTATATTGTATTTCATTACAATATTACCAACCAATCAAAATGAATTACGAAACTTCTATTTTGTTTCACAAACTTTCGTTAAGTTTATTATTTTTAGTAACACATAAGTAATTACCTGCTAAAGTACGCTAAAGTGTAAAATGCGTTGAAAATGAATATATCATACTTTGGTATGATATATAACAATGCTAATGTTTCCTGGTGTGGACTTCCTGTACTGTTACGTCGTGTGTGTGTGTAAGATAAATATTGCGATGACGATCGAAAAAGCATCAGACGCCACGGTCGACGATTTTACTATGTCTATAGCCATTGACTTACAAATAAATGGACGACGGGTCTAATACAAAAACCAAGAAAAAAATGTCCCAAGTCAACCTATTCGAAATTTAAATTGTAATGTCATCGCAGTATCGCGCTGTCAGTCGAACAAATGAAGACTAAAGGCCCATTTAGATGGGGAGAGTTTCTCGCACGCTTCGAGACGAAAACTCGTAGGCGATTCTCGTAAGCAATAATCGCCATAAGATTATCGTATCATAATGTTTACATTCAAGCAAGAACTAAAATCTCGCCTACGATTATGTCATACGAGACTCGTAA